TTTACCTGTTGGTAACTCTTCAAATAATTATTGAAAAAAATTTGTAAAATAATTGCATTAATGTCGAAAATCGTTTAAAAAACCAATTTTTGGGTAAAAAAATAAAATAAAACAACCAAAGACTGATTATTATTTATTTTCACAGCAATTCAAGCTGTTGTAGAAAAAAATCATGTTGATGTATAAATAAACCATGACACAAACGGTCACAACCGTCAATCATTTCTTCTTCGCGTCCTTGAGTCCAGCCCCGGCGTTGAATTTAAAGAAGATTATATCTCCATCCTCCACCACATAATTCCGTCCTTGTTGTCGGTACTTTCCCGCCGCTTTGCAGGCCGCCTCAGAGCCCTCTTCCTTGAAATCGCTAAACTTCATCACTTCCGCCATGATGAAACCTTTCTCGAAGTCGGTATGGATGCGACCTGCCGCTTGCGGCGCCTTCGTACCTTTCTAAAACCGACACCAGAGGGCGCGTCACATCCCAGTGTTGCATTTTTTTTCGAAAGAAAATTTCCCGAGAAAATTTACATACGACTACGTGAAATGGCTGTAAAATTGCGTTTTACTGCATTCTTATGCAAATTGCGTGATTTTAGGGCGAGGGTAATTCATTTAGTTTGCTTTGTCAGTCTTTTATTCAGTTGGAGGAACTTTTCAATAGATGTTTTAGGGAGTTAATACGAACCTGAATCGTCCAAGCTTTGACTTCGTCAGGACCGGCGGTGAAAAAGTACTCCAATTGGAGGGCTTTGTAGCCTTGAACGATGATTTTATCCAAAGCGCTACAAAAAAAAAACGAAATCGAGACAATTTCATTGTTTTGGGACTCGGCCAAAACTAGAACAATGGAATTACAGCCAGGGACGGACTGGGGGGTTTACTCACAACGAAGACCCAAAATTAGAACATTAAAATAAAAATAATAATACAGTAATAGAATTAAAAATTAATAAAAAAAAAATTGGACCAAAAAATTGAATTTTATAAATGTTGATTTTATGTAAGAAAAGTCCAATTCCAGGACCGGATTCCCGAAATTTTTCTTTTTTAAATCGCTAATTCAAGACGATTTTTTCAAAAAAACTCATTTCAGTCCCCCTCTGTTCCCTTTTTTTCAGTACTTATCTGTTGGAAAAAATTAATGAAATAAAAATAATAACATTTTTAGAGATAATATTATGACCCAAAAAATTCAATTTTATAAATTTTTATAGATTTTCCGCCGACACAAACGAGAAAATCGTTGATTTTATGAAAGAAAAGTTATAAAATTTCGTGAAATAATTAAGTTTATGACAAAAAACGTGAAAATAATCTCATTTTTGGCCTGAGTTTTAGCTCAAACATGTGCTTACATATTCAAAAAAGACAAAAATAACACTATTTTCGACGAAATATGACAATTT